TGGGCTTGAGATTCAACTCTTTAGCCCATTTTTTTTTTTTTTTTACTGCATGATACAGTAACCAAAATTCAGGAAACATACAAGTTAACCAATGTCATACATAAGTCAAGAGAAGTTGCCATAATCTGTATTTTTGGAATTTTCATTCAGATTTCCTGAGATTAATAAAGATGTAAAGTGCTAAAAATGTAGGGATAAATAAAAATTACAGAATTAGGCAGCATAGTAACTGATACAAATGTACATGAACAATTAACACTCATTTCATATCACAATGCAGTTTTCTCACTGAAGCAAAAATGAATTTTCCCCTTTGGTGGAGCATCATCTCTGCCTTACCGTGGAGTATGACATGAATTTTTATATCCTTCAAAGCTCTCTTGAAGACAATATATTGAATAACGCCATGTTTCATTGTGAATAAGCCACCCTCTCCTTTTTATTTCTAGTGACCACATTCAGAACATTATTCTTAAACTTACTGTAAATAAGGTATATTCTCTGTAATCTTCATTTTAGGACTTACGAAATTTTAGTGAAACCATGCACAATAGGATAAAGGTGACTTCAGCATGCTTGCACTAGAGTTAGGTGGTACCAGTGAAATCTCTCATGCTATTATTTGATTCATGAAAACTAATAGCCCTGAGAAATTTAATTTAGAGAGCTGCACATTTTGAGTAATATATAGATTACTTGACATGTAGGTTATTATTCAATTGAGAGATTTTATATGAAAATTGTTAAATGCTACTGGCAGTTGCTAAAGATTGTACTTTTTAATTATTCTATTTTTCATCCAATGTCTCTTCTTCTTTTATCATTGACATTCTAGGTTGCTGACAGAATATTCCTTTAGCTCAAATGTGTATCATCATTCCAGGAGATAAAGGCACACAGTAGGCATTCAATAAACATTTGTTCAATAAATGGCCTTAATTTACCATGCTTACTTTGTGGGTTGCTGCTGAAATTATTTCAGCTTCTGATTCAATTTTTCAAGTATGCAGGGGATTTTACTGAGCTTCTCAGCCTCAGTGTGATTAATGAGATTTCTAAGTATGTTAAAATTGGTGCTATTGAATATCTTGGGTCCAAAACTAGGGAGTTGTTGATTGAGTATGCTTATGTCACCTCTGACTGAGGCCAGACAGAAAAGAATAGACCCTCTTAACAGGGCTTAAAGTTTCTGATTGAAGATACCTTCAACTGAACATGAAGGTACATAATAATGTGTTTCATGAGCTTAACCAAGTATTTGTTTATGCCGACAATGTATTTTAAGTTAAAATTTTGGGTCTTCGGTTTTCATAAATAGATAGATTCAAAATCACAAAGTTCTTCAAGTTTCTGCAATATTTAAGCTCTACTTTTATGACATGATTTTTGAAATATATTTGATGGTCTCCGTTTAATGGTTTCAGTGGAATTAATGAAGGCTCCATTTGGTTTTGAAATAATTAGAATAACAATCATATTTTGAATATATTTTGTGTGTCAGTAGTGTATGACATTGTTTTGGAGAAATTGCTGATTCGGTCAAAATTTTTTGTTTTAGCATAAAAGATCACAAAACTAATTTTTGTATGTCTTTGATCATGAAGGCATGAGCGTTGACTGGGCAAGTTGATGATAAAGGCTTAGAGAAAAGAACCCACATCACAGTCATTATTGTCATATCTGTATGTGAGAGAAAAAACTATATTAGCCAGATCGTCTGCAGTGTAGATGGTCAGCAGAAGCTGGAGAGATTGGCACTCTTGTCAAAGTAGCTTGCACAAGTGCTCATTTGATCATCATTAATACATGCATTTTTAAACAGTCTGTAAATGCATTAGAGAATACAGTCACATCTATTCACTTAGAAAACACTCTTCTCTTTCTAGAAAGTGGGTAGCCCTCTTACAAACATGCATGTAGGAGCATGATGCATCTTTTTATGTTTGAACTTAATATTTTTAACTCTGTAATTATCTGTTATTTCTAAGTTGATCAGATCATTGTTTTAATTCCTGTATTGTAAGATGTTAATTGTTTTCCTGTAAATCTGAGGTTCTCTGAAAACATATGTCACACACCCTCAATCGTAGCATCAAATCTGATGAAAATATTCTGTTACATTTGTTCTGGGTCTTTCCACATTGTTGGTAGCTGCTGATTATTGCATTTTGTATGAATGGTTCCAGTAGGGTATGCGGGGTTTTGACAGTGGTAATATCCGAACCACTTACTCCATCCTCAGATTGTAGGCTGAAATATTTTAAGGAGTAAAATTAAAATCATTATTGATGGCCAGATATTAAACCCAGCATTCTTCTCTAAGTCTGCAAAGCCTTTCTCTGTCTTAGAGGAAATAAAGTTAAGGAGGGTGTCCTTTCATTTATCATTTACTCAGTAAATATTTATAAAGCATTTGCAATGTGTGATTGGGGCTTGGAACTACACTGTGGGGCTGCAGTAGTGAAAGGATAGGGGCAGTCTCTGCCCTCAGAGGCTGCAGGGAATGGCGGGAAGGGTACTGAGACCCGTCCCCAGAGGTTGCTGGGGATGGCAGGAAGGTCACTTGAGACTTGAATTCCTGAGTCATGAACTGGCTGCATAATTTTGGCTGATGTATGTTTGCCTGATGTATGTTTCCCAAGACCTTGGTTGACTTAATTATACCAGCTCTAACATTTTATTATCCTACAACTTGATTTCTTATAACTTCGACATCTGAAAATTATTTTAAAAGCATGTCATCTTTTTATAATTTGATTATTTGGTTTACCATTTGACATTGAAGTATTTAAGACCCTACTCCCCTCTTCCAACATCAGTATACACACACACACACACACACACACACACGTGTGCGTAGTTTGAAGATATGTAGTGCTTATCTTAAGGGCAAAGTTTGGCCCTGCTCTGTAAATGTGTTCAGAAAACAATATAACACAGATACTGAAGGCAGCTTGTTTTTAACTTGTACCTAAACATGACATTCAAATGTTAATTGGATGAATAAATCTTGTTCATTTTACAGACATGGAAATGTCAGTGGAATAAAACTATTTATCACAAGATAATGGTCTCCTGCCGCCAGATAAATGCCAAGATGAAGATACTTATTGAAAATGTATCAAAATATTCTATTGCTATTTATTGAAAATAAAGGTTGAGGAAAAGTTCAACTTTTCTGGTCAAACATGAGAAATGCCCTGCCTCTGGTATTAGTATATTATATCATCAAACACAATGTGCATGGTGTAGAAACTTGAGAAAATTCTAAGAAATAGTGGTCTGTAAGTGAATCCTTTAGCTTTATAGTATGGGAAGTACTGAAGTGGTGCAGTGGGGGCTGGGAGGAAATACCTACTAGATATTAAGCTCTGACTGTGTGCCTGGCACAGTCCTGGGTGTATTCACTGATGCAAGCCCATTCACATGAACAGGATTTGAGAAGGATAATTATGCTCATTTACAGGTAAAAGCCAAATAACTTGCAGTCACGTAGAGAGTTAAGTGCTGACACCAGAATTCAAATTCAGCCTGGGCTCCAAGTCCAGTGCTCTTTTCCTACAGTCTACATCTCTACTTAAACTCCATGAATCTGAGTACAATACCTTTTGCTTGGTGGTGGGGGGGTTCGGGGTTGGGGTAGATTATTTCCCCAAGTTTTATTGCACTTGATGACCAAGTACTTCTTTGGGTCTAAGGATTTGATATACTGATGAGCTTTCTTTCTTTACTTTTTTTTTAAAAAAGCTCCCAGGAGTGAGTTATAGGTTTTTTTTTTTTTTATTAAGATTTTATTTATTTATTTGAGAGAGAGAGATACTGAGAGAGGGAGCCCAATGTGGGACTCTGACCCAGGACCCTGGGATCATGTCCTGAGCCGAAGGCAGACACTCAACTGACTGAGCCACCCAGCCGCCCGTGATGAGCTTTCTTTAAATGCTATTGTCCACTTGCCTAAGGGGGCACAACCCTAAGTTCTGAGGACTTGATAGCTTTGGGCCAAGTAGCATTAAATTCTAGTAGTAAGATCACCTGCTGTCCAGCAGTGTGTGGTTTCAAAGTCTTTAGGTAATTTCTTCTTTCTACTTTATTTTACAAATTTAGGTACCTATTTCTCTTCTAGTGCCATAGTGGTCTTCATAAAATATATTGTTTGGATTGTTATGAATATAGGTGAATTGTTGTGTTTGTTATAAATATAAGTGAATTGTTGAATTGTTTAAAGAAAGAAAAAGAATTATTATTCACTAGAATAATAGTGACTAATACATCCCCTTCCCTAATCTCTTCATGCCAATTCCTTCTCATGTCCTTCCACCCTTAACAATTCCCTTTCTCCATCTGCCACAAATGCTGGATGTTAAAGTCTCCCTCCTCTGTACTGTCGGAGAACTGAAGTTTTCCTCTTGGCAACAACAGCTCTTTACCTAGTATTTTAGTATTAGTGTACTATTGATATACTTGTCGTAGTTTCCCTCGTAGATGGTAGGCTTCTTACCAGGAGGAACTGTGTGCTTTCCTTTTTTCTATTCCCCATGGTACTCAACAGAGTGATTTTAACATACAGATAGATGAGAGAGGGAAAGAAACGTGTATGTCTTTGGTTTAAGAACTCGAGGAAGTAGTAAGACTTCAGAGGTATTCATAGTGCACGCTTGTGAGTGTGGAAGTCTGCCTGCCTGGTCCTTCGCCTGTGCTTGCAGCTATCAGTTCTCAAATACACTTGGATTTTATTTATTTTGTGCAATTCCTACAGGCAGTGAATGAGCAGATAATTTAACTGCTAGATGGTTACAAAGGAGAGAAGCTTGAATGTTTAAATTTCCCTCAGGAAGAAAATAGTAATTCATATGGCACTCTTTTGATATATAAGTAATATGTGTACTAGCAAAGATTTAAAAAAAAAATCATAACATTCTTCTAGTAGTTTTAGATAAACACCAAACATCATTGTGTCAAATGGATTACTGACTGATGGTTTTTGCCATGCACTTTTGCAGATGGAAGACCTTTAGCTCTGAAGGACATATGGGAAGGAATCCATGAGTGTTATAAGACACGGCTGCTGCAGGAGCCATGGGACACCATTACCCAACAGGTTAGAGGGTACTTTTATTTTATTATATGTGATTCTTTCCCTCTGCTCATCTTTTCTTCTAGTTCTCTCCTCTACTCTTTTTTTCCTGTTTCATTCCTCTGCATCCTTACAGATTTCAGTTCAAAGACAGTTTCCTTTAAAACACCTCAGACCCAGAGTTGGTTTCTCCTCCCTGTTATAAGCTCTCAAGGCAAGCTGTAGTTTTCCTTTATAGTGCTTATCACAATTTTAAATTATATATTTGGATAGTTTTTTTTTAATTAATGTCTTTCTTTGTCATGTACTATGCATTCCCATGTGGGCAGAACCTTGTTTTCTTATTTATTTATTTTAGAGAGAGAGCATGAGTTGGTGGGGGGAGAGAGGGGGAGAGAGAATCTCAAGCAGACTTTGCACTGAGCTTGATATCACGACCCTGAGATCATGACCTGAGCCGAAACCAAGAGTCAGATGCTTAACTGACCGTGCCACCCAGGCACTTCTTTTTTGTCTGTATTGTACACCCAGCATTGGTACAGTACTTATCATATAGTGAGGGCTCAATAAAAATGTATTAAGTAATGAGAATAGTAACTAAGTTGGCATATTCACTAAGAAGTACATGATTTAGCTTGTATCACCTACAATGCTTCAGAGTTTTGCTTATAGGTACATTTGCAAAAAAATTAACTTTTGATTAATAATATGTTTGCAATAGTGATCTGAAAGAAGGAGAGAAAATACATCTGCAAAAGTAGATATAAAAAGTAGATTTGCAAAAGTAGGGAAAAATAGATCTGTCAATCATTAAGTCATTATTACTGCCTTGCTAAAATCAGCAGTTAATTATTTTAGAAATTTAAAAATACTCATCACCTTGCAACCAATCATGGTTTCCTTAAAAATAATTTTTACTTATATCAAAAATCTTATCTTTTCCCAGCCTCTGTTAAGCTTAATCAAAGCTTCCTTTAAAAATGATTTTATCAGCCATTAGAATTTTTATGCCCTCTTATGTGTTTGATCATAATAATGACAGTTTACCTCCCAATCAATGTAAGAATCCTTAGCATCTTGTAAGTAGTTCTTTGACAGTGACTGCAAATGACCATTTTCTAGGTTCTAATTAAGGACAAAACTAGGTTTAAGTACATGCATATTTCACACAGCCCCTCAAGTTAATCCTTTCCTTTCCTTTCCCTTCCCACCATCACCCTCTTAGATCAAGTCCTCTAGCCTTACCTGAAACCGTTAGTAAGGCTTCACAACTCTGGTCTGCTCCTTCCTCCCTGCATCCATCATCAGTCACATCCTCCTAACCACGGTGTGCATATGTTGCCTATGCACAAACCTGCATAGCTGTCCAAAGGCCAATGGCATGTGGTCTAAATGCCTCACCTGGGCTCCAGTGGTTGCCACTCCCTGGCTCCAGCCTGCCCTTTCAAGCTTATCTTGTACTCTGCTGTACACAGTCTCAGCTCCTGCCAAACATGGCTGTTCATTTCCCAGAAGCTATCCTGTGTAGTTTGTTCTTGGAATTCTTTCCAGACTTGTCTTCCCTGTTGCCTTTGTTCTGTCTTTGTATTTCCTTTTTTTTCTCTCATGTTCCTTTCTTGAAACCACTTCAGCTCACAGAAATGGCCCCCTCTGCAACCCAGTTCTGTAGGCCAGGTATGGGTGGTTGTGCTGAAGAAGAAGAATGAGATGTATAAGCAAATCCATCATGAAGATTTTTGGCAAGAACATTTTATTTTATGCAGAGCGTTTAGATTAGCCTTTACGCACCAAGGTGAGTGCTAAGAGTTTCAACTTCCAGTGTCTTGCCAGGGACCACAGGCTGTCTAAAAATGTAGACTATAGTGTCAGAATCCACAGGACCCAGAAAATGTTTGATTGTAAGAGTCAAGGAAGATGGCAAATGTTAGAGGCAGACGATAGATGCCAAAGACATGCAAAAGTACATCTGCATTTAACTTTAGTGCCTTTTTTCTCTGCTTCTTTTCATTTACATTTTACATTATGTTCTTGATCCCATTTCTTATCCTTTCCCTTTTTCTGTCACCACCAGTGCTGTTATTAATCTCAGTGCAAGTCTATAGCACAATTCCTGGTGATCTATGTCATTTTGGGTTTTAATTCTATGTGTCTCTGTTCTGACTTGACATATGAACAAGACTTTGTACTCAACCATATTTTCTTAGTTTCCTAATATGATGTTGCCAATAGATTTCTATTGATAGAACTTCTAAGTTGCTAAACCAACGAAATGAACCAATCTGTACTTTGATTGTTTTTAAAGGAATTGACTAATATCTTTTAATTTGTAGATCCTTAAGTGTCATGTAGACAGCCAGTTAGTGGACCATCTTTTCCTACCCGACATAGTATAGTAGTGATGATCAAATCCAGTCACAAAAAGCATTATTTCTAACACCCAAGTGTGGGGGCTCACTTAATGGGACAGATGGTTGATATAACCAAACTACAACACAACTGGAACGTGTAGGTGTTCCTTTGGGATTTGTCTTATGGGAATTGATCTGTGGACAGCTATCCCACTTTTGACAACAAACTTTGTTTAAGCTTTAGAATTGCTCATCAGGGTGTATGTGCGGGCATTAAAGACCTAGCCAGGGAAACTCACTTGTCACCATTGCATTACTTGGCATTCAAAAGTCATCATGATTGTCTCCTTTGGTGGTCTTGGCTTTTAATCCTAGATTAGTTAATGGGTTGGCATTTACATGCTCTTCTTTGCTTGAGATCTTTGAGAGAGTGGGTCTTCATTTTTGTAAAACTGCACGTGGAGAAAAAAACAGTGTCCTCAGTTGGGGGAAGGGGAGGTTGTGATACAGCACTAGGGGAGAATGAGCTGATAGACTAGATAGCATTTTGCAGATTACCCTAAAGAACCATTAGCTCGCAGACTGAACATGATAATAATATCCTGTCCTTCAGAGTGGCTTAAAAACAAAAGCAGCCTTCACACAATATAAAATGCATTTCACTTCATCTTCAGGCTTGATTGTGCTCATATAGTTTGTTGCTCTTCATCTTTAGTAATCACACTTCTGTTCTCTCAGCATTTGTCTTGATGATAAGGACCTGTTCATGTCAGACATGAACCCTCTCTTTTGACGACAAGCCACTAATGAATCTCATACATTTGATTATGGTGATTACTTACCTGCTTTTGTCCAACATTACCTATTATCTCAACCCTGTAGCCTAATAAAGAACTTCTGAAAGAAAGTTAACAGATGCTTAGGTTGGATCTGCCCAAAGTGGTACAGTGAATGTTACAATAATGATTACTTGCAGGTGTGGGCTCTATGTTTTAGGTAAAGAACTCCTGTGATCTTCGCACAAATTAAAAGTCATGAGATAAGAAAGCATACCTTCAATTTTACTTGAAGATGTGTGTGTTTATGTATGTGGGTGTGGAAGTGGTCAGATAGGTAATTGTTTCTTACTCTCTTCTTGTTTTTAAACTTTATATTATGGAAAATTATAAACATATACAAAAGTAGAGCTAATAGTATAATACATTTACGAACTAATGGCCAATGTTACTTTTTTAGTATCTCACCCTATCTGGAATTTTTAGAAGCAAATCTGAAACATCATATCTCATCCATACAAATTTAAGTATGTATCTTTAAAAAACAAGGACTTTATACCAATGTTTATAGCAGCTTTATCCATAATAGTCCAAATGGAAACAATTTTGATGCCCTTCAGACCATGGAGATTAAATGAAGTGGTACATCCTTGCTAGGGAATACTATTCAGTAATACAAAGGAACCAACTATTGATAACGCTGAACAACCTGGATGAGTGTCCAGAGAATTATTCTGAGTACAAAAAGCCAGTCCCAAAAGGTTGTGTAGTATATGATTCCACTTAAAATAACATTTTTGAAATTAGAGAGGTGATTTGTGGTTGTTGGGTGTTAGAGGAGGTGTAGGTAGGAAGGGAGAGAGTGTGGCTATACAAGGCAACATGAGAGGGAACCTTGTAGCAATGGAAATGTCCTGTATCTGACTGTATCAATGTTAGTATCTTGGTTGTGATATTGTACTATAGTTTTGCAGGATGTTACCATTGGGGAACTGGTGAAGGGTACGAATAATCTTTTTGTAATATTTCTTATAACTGCATGTGGAATCTACAGTTATCTCAAAAAGTTTAATTTTAAAAAGGTAAGGACTCTCAATAAACATACCCACATCTCTGTTATCACAATAAATTGAAAATAATTTCTTAAAATCATTAAATAAGGAATTGATGCTTAAATTTCCACAATTTAAAAAAATTTTTTTTACAGTTTCTGTGAATCAGGATTCAAATAAGGTTTATATATTAAAATGGTTAACATCTCTTAAGACTTTTGAAATAAAGATTCTCATTCCTTTCTCTGTTTTTTTCCTCATAAATTTTTGTTGAAGAAACAAGGTTGTTTTGTCCTGTAGTGTTTGTAGTCTGTTTTTTGTTTGTTTTTTCCCTAATTGTATCTCTTTGGTAGTGATGGTGTATTCCTCCCTGAGCTTTCCATAAACTGGTAGTTAGATCTGGAGGGTTGATCAGATTCAGGTTTGTTTTTGGGGGCAAGAATACTTCATAGGTGATTCTGGATGCTTCTGCCAAGAGGCAAATAATGTTTGGTTATTGTTCTTTTTTGTGATGTTAGCAGCCATTCATGATTATTGCCTAGATCCATTAACTCATTAGGGGTTGCAAATGGTGATGTTCTAATTCCATCATTCATTATTTATTAGCTGGACTGCTTTATAACAGCAGTTTCCCTCACCAGCTTAGTTACTTGAGGTATGCTTTGTATAGAAAATGCAGGATAAATGTTCTAGCTTTTAAGATAATGAGCTGGTTCTCTAGCATCCTAAGGTGACCAAGAAAGTTTTCTTATATATCTTTGTGGACTCATGGATATAATGTTTTATGCATTTCAATTCATTATAGTGATTATCTTTATTGTTGCTTGATTGTTGCAACAACGTGGGTG